GATGAAGGTTTTGGAGGGACTTCGACGTGCGCGCGCGGCCGACGCGCGAGAGTGGCCCGCATGGTATTCGACACGGATCGTGCCCCCCCCAGCACGCGCGCAAGGGCGTTCGAATGATTTCGACGAGCGACGCGGTGGGCCCGCTTGGCAGAAATTGATGAACATGTTGAACAATTTGTCTCTTTCTTAAGGATTCGCAGGAACGCGAACGCAGGCATTTCTCAAAACAGATGTTGCAAAACCATGTGTTTTTATATGTTTTCAGGAACCTCGATTTGGACATCCGTACGAAACGTCAGGTTTTTGAAGGATTTCGGCATGTGCGCGCGACGACGCGCACGTGTGCACTTCGTACCATTCTTTGCAAGGGGTTCTTGCGACAGCACGTGCGCAAAGGGCGCTCGATTGATTCCGAACTGCGCGCGCGAGAGGCCCGTTTGGTAGCAATTTGTGAACATGCTCAACGAGTTCACAAGAGGCCGAGCAAGTTTGATACATTTTGTTGGTAAGCCATTCGACAAATCATTTCGGGACACTCGGTTTTGAAATCCTTAAGACACTCTAGGTTCTTAAAGGATTTCGGCATGCGCGCGCGACGACGCGCGCGTGTGCACTTCGTCCTTTTCTTTGCAAGGGATTCTTGGTAACAGCTGATTTTTGATAAACGTGCGCGGAACTTCTTCCCTGCAGAGAATAAGGGGGGGTTATGCCAGCCTGCTTGGGATGGTATGAATTCGCATTTTGGATGGACGATGGGGCAGCGTCGTATGTAAAATGCAAAAAGAAAAGGGGTCCCATTAATTCTGGGTGGGGGTCAGTCTTAGTGTTTCCAGCAGAAAAACTCTGTGTGGTGTGAGGTGCGTGGCGGCGACGGGCGGCGAGGAGGCGGCGACGGCAACAACAAGTGCGGCGACCGGCACTCAGACGCAGGGTAGCGGCGACGGACGGCGTCGACGGGCGGCGACGGCGACAACAAGCGCGGCGACCGACACCCAGGCCCAGAAGCAGCGGCGACGGACGGCGTCGACGAGCGGAGATGGAGACAACAAGGCGGCCGGACTGACACCCCCAGTCCCAGTTCCGCGTAAGAGGAGTAGGAGCCCCGAAGTGAAAGCATTCTTTGAGGAATTGTGGGCGTCGGCGCGCGACCACCTCCCATGCTCGAGCAAGCATCCCAGCCACCCGCCTCTGCAGCTAGGTGGCAGCGCTCAAGAGGCCTTCAGTGGAGTTACCCTTCGAGCCCCTGCTCGCAAATCGCAAGATGCGCAGTGGCAGGCGGACCTTGCTCATGCAGGCTCATGGTTCGGCCGGGCGACTGTCGATTGTGACGACGACGCAAGCGACGACGACAACGACGACGATGATGATGACGATTGTATGGTGACGATAAGTGAGGAGTAGGATGAGCATGAGTATGATGAGTGTAATGAGTATGACGATGATGGCGATGGTGGTGGTCGTGGCGGCGATGGTGACGAGGGCGACGACAACGACGATGGTGATGAAGATGATGATGGTGATGATGGTGACGATGGCAATGATGACGCTGGCGACGGTGAAAGCGATGGGGATGATGAACATGATGAGGAAGTGTGCGCGCACAGGATTCCTCACATATTCTTGTCAAAGAGTGTTTTTTTTTTTCATGCGCGATTGAATGTCTCTTTGTTGAAAAGGCTCAAGGGACCGTTGGTTTGGCAACGATTTCCACATGCGCCCGCGCCCGCGGGGGCGCGCGCGTGTTGCTTGTATTGTTTTGTTCGACGGCGTTGGCGGGTGCGCGGTGGTCATGGCATGGTTTCAATACGCGCGCGCGTGTAGCCCGCATTGCTTCAGTTGACCGAATGGGGGACCTTCCCAACCATCCTGTGGTGTTAGGTCCGCGTTCTGAAGAGACAGCGCCCCGCGTTCCTCTCGTCTCCTGTGCTCCTCCCCCTCCTCCCATCCGCCTCGTCACCTCCTTGCGTTTCACCCACCCAGGACAGCGTTTCGTGGCTCCATCGGGAGCTCCACCGAAGGCTCCAGTGGCAGGGTCCGCATGCGTCACCGCCACCCAGGACAGCGTTTCGTGGCCCCAGAGGGAGCTCCACCGAAGGCGGTACCTACAATGCGGCGCTCACAGCTGCATATGGTTGGGTCTTTCGTCAGGCTACGGTTTGTTGTTTCACGGTTTCGGGGGGCGCGTTTGTACGGGTTTTGCATGCCTTTGCGGAAGCATAGGGTCTGTTTGCTCAAGGTGGAGTCCATTGGTCTTGGAAGGATTTGGGCATTTGCGCGCGCGTGTGGCTCGCATGATATGATGCGATACGGATTGATTGAACATGCACTTGTGAGATCAAAACGAATGCTCCGCAGTGCTGTTTGGCTGGTTTACAAGGATGAGGCAGGGGGGTCGAACATGGACCTGGCTGGGATTTCACGGTCGTGCAGCATAAACATGAAAAGCAATTACGCGGAGGGGAGCCGTTCAGTCTGGCCTCGGTATGGGGGGGTTTATATGAAAGCTATGTGGCGCAAGCTATGTGCGAGTGGTGCAATCTATGTGTGCAAGATGTGCGTGCATCCAGAAGCGCCGGACGGGCTGATCCCCGGGTTGTCCACAGGGCGAAAAGTTCTGGAGCACCCAGCCAACTCACGGGAAGTCTACGTGGCAACCACGGGCGGCCATCAGGATTCCAACGTGCACTTCTTTGTCCCATGAGACCTTGCGCAAGCAGGCCTGCCTTGGCCTCCCAGAGTCTCAGGAAGCACCGCTCTTCAGTGGGCCCCCAAGGCAGCCCGACCTGCCCCGCAGCGAGCGGCGAGGTGGCCCCGACAGAGGCCGCAACGACCGGTGGAACCACGCCAACGCACAAGGCGGCCACGAGGCGGCCACGGGCGGCCACTGTGCGAGAACCTGATGAGCCTACACCTTAGGCGATGCTTAAGAAAGCTTAAGTTTTCGGCCAGAGTCTCGATTTTTCTTAATGTTTCCATGTAACTCCTAAGATGTTCATAGAAATTCTGGGTTTTTAGTCAATTTCTGAGACTGTGAATTTCTTAACCCATGATTTCTTGAGCATTTCGCAGGGTGTACCCCCCCCCCCCCTCCGGACTGCAGGTACCCCCCCCCCTGGACGACATGCACCCCCCTCGGACTACGGGTACCCCCACAGGACTACATCCACGCGTGCGTGGACGCGTGAACACGCGTTCCCCCCCCCCAGACTGCAGGTATCCCCCCCTCCGGACTACAGGTACCCTTCCCCCGGACTACAGATACCCCGCCCCAGACTACTGGTACCCCCCCCCGCGGGCTACAGGTACCCCTCTCCCGGACTACAGGTACCCTCCCTGGACTACAGGTGCCCCCAGAACTATTGAGGGACACAGAGTCTTAGATAGAGGTCGCTTCGGGAAGGGCATCCTGGTGTTCTTCGTGCTCGTTGGATGTTTTTGCGCATCCTTGGGGAAGGTACCCTTGGATTTTTTTAGCTTTTACCGCAAGAGGTTCGCTCTCGCCCCGCAGACCAAACAATGTTTTGTGTGTTTTGGCCGACGGAGGGTATCACGTGCTCGGAGGATATTCTTCTGACCCAGGTCCGGCTGTAACGTAGTTGTGCAGAAGCTCATCCAGGAACCCCCCCCTTGTGCAGCGCAGGCGCCTGCCCGGGGGAGCTCTCGGAGCTCTCGGAGGTCCGAGCGCGCGGGCCTCCGACAGCTCGTTGCTTGTTTTGTGTTGCTGTTTTCTGTTATATATACATACATACATACATACATACATACATACATACATACATACATACATACATACATACATACATACATACATACATACATACATACATACATACATACATACACATACATACACATACATACACACATACATACATACATACATACATACATACATCCATCCATCCATCCATCCATCCATCCATACATACATACATACATACATACATACATACATATATATATATATATATATATATATTCGAGGCTGATAGACCTCCTACCCTGACACGCCGATCAAGGAATCGGCCGTTTTCGGTTCGCAAGAGGGCGTCGCGGCCGCCATCTTTGCGGGTCCGGGTCCGTCGGTTTCGGTCCCAGGCCGTTTTCACCGAGGGGAGGTTCGCTAAAGGGAGGCTTGTCCACCGCTGATACATGTTTTTTGGTATATGTTTTTGGCTTGGCTCCCCAGGAGAGGGGGGCGTGGAGGGGGAGGAGGGCCGAACGGCCGGCTCCGAACGAACGGCGGCGAGAGAGGGGGGGGAGGGGACGACCGCCTGGCAGCAGTGCTGAATGACGCAGTGCAGAAGCACGAGAATTGTTTGATTGGCCTGTTTTCCACCACCATCACCATGAGTTGGAGGGGGAGGGGGTCCTCCTCCTCCTCCTCATCCTCCTCTTCGTCCTCCTCTTCCTCCTCCTCCTCCTCGTCCTCCTCCTCCTTTCCCCCTCCAACTTATGCTGGTGGTGGTGGACAGCAGGCGCAACATTATTTCGGCGTTCTCACGAGAACGATTGCAGCGGAGTGCGCTGAGATGTTTCTGTGCCTCCTCGAAGATTGCGTTTCGCCTGGCCTGCCTTGAGCATTAGGCCTGCACGCGCGCACATAGCGAGTAGAGGGACGCAGCTGCCTGCGACGGGGTAGTCCAATGTATGATACGTTCGCCGCATGTGTCGTCCATAGGCAGTTCCAGCTAGATGTTGTTCCCCTTGTGTCGACGGATGATGATGACCAACTCCTCCTCCTCCTCCTCCTCCTCCTCCTCCTCCTCCTCCTTCTCGTCCTCCTCCTGCTTCTCCTCGTCTTCCCTCTCCTCCTCCTCCTCCTCCTCCTCCTCCTCCTCCTCCTCCTCCTCCTCCTCCTCCTCCTCCTCCTCCTCCTCCTCCTCCTCCTCCTCCTCCCCCTCGTCCTCCTCGGTTTCCTTCTCCTCCTCGTCTTCCTCCTTCGCCTCCTCTTCCTCCTCGTCGTCGTCGTCGTCGTCGTCGTCGTCGTTCTCCGAAAGGAGGCGGGCGTGCTGAGGAACGGGCTGCAGAACCCCGTGAAGCCGCCGTGCCCAGACCCCGAGGCCCGCGCCTCTCGACGCCCCGCCGGAGGGTGCCGGGGGGTGCCGGGCCCGAGAGCGGCCTCGCGCCAGGGCTGGCCCGAGGCAGGATCGGCGCCACCTGCAGCGATCCGCTGCGGTCGGGCCGAGGCATATCGGGCCGGGCGAAAGGGGGGGAGGAGGAGGAGGAGGAGGAGGAGGAGGAGGAGGAGGAGGAGGAGGAGGAGGAGGAGGAGGAGGAGGAGGAGGAGGAGGAGGAGGAGGGAGGAGGAGGAGGAGGAGGAGGAGGGATTGGGAAAGGGGGGGTTACGAAATTTGCTGCGTGCAGCTGGTTTCGGCCTCACCGAGGGGCCCATTCCTCGATACATGGCCGCCTCCGGCGCCGGGAGGCGCCGGAAAAATCAGCCACGTGGGCTGATTTTCCCTTCCCCCTTTGCTATCCCCCCCTTTCGCCCGACCCGAGTATATGAGCGAGGTCGGTTCGGGGAGGGTGCCCAAATGCCAAGTGTTCGTTTGTGTTTGTTGGAGGGTGCCCTCGGATGTTCCGTGTGTTTGGGCTGGCGGAGGGTCTCATGTTCTCGAAGGAGGTTTTCGCCAGCCCTCCTCGTCTGGGTATTCGCTTTGAATAGAGCACTGCTCGCGCGTCCTTCCTTCCTTCCTTCCTTCCTTCCGTCCTTCCTTCCTCCCGCCTCGTCCCTCCTCCTCCTGCCCCCTCTTCGCCGTTGCTGGGGGGCTGCGATCTGCAAAACTGTCGCCACTTTCGAGGGCTGCTGGTGGGTCCAGCGGAGTGAGGCACCGCGCGGACCTGAAGTAGACCTCGCCGTCCCTGGGGGGCTGCGATCTGCGACACCGTCGCCACTTTCGAGGGCTGCTGGTGGGTCCAGCAGAGTGAGGCGCCGCGCGGACCTGAGGTAGACCCCGCCGTCCCTGGGGGGCTGCGATCCGCGCCACCGTCGCCACTTTCGAGGGCTGCTGGTGGGTCCAGCGGAGTGAGGCACCGCGCAGACCTGAGCGAGCGGGACCTCGCCGTCCCTGGGGGGCTGCGATCTGCGACGTTGTCGCCACTTTCGAGGGCTGTTGGTGGGTCCAGCAGAGTGAGGCGCCGCGCGGACCTGAGGTAGACCTCGCCGTCCCTGGGGGTCTGCGACGTTGTCGCCACTTTCGAGGGCTGTTGGTGGGTCCAGCGGAGTGATGCACCGCGCAGACCTGAGCGAGACCTCGCCGTCCTTGGGGGGCTGCGCTCTGCGACACCGTCGCCACTGTCGAGGGCTGCTGGTTGGTCCAGCGGAGTGAGGCACTTCGCAGACCTGAGGTAGACCTCGCCGTCCCTGGGGGGCTGCGATCTGCGACACCGTCGCCACTTTCGAGGGCTGCTGGTGGGTCCAGCGGAATGAGGCACCGCGCGGACCTGAGGTAGACCTCGCCGTCCCTGGGGGGCTGCGATTTGCGACACCGTCGCCACTTTCGAGGGCTGCTGGTGGGTCCAGCGGAGTGAGGCACCGCGCGGACCTGAGGTAGACCTCGCTGTCCTTGGGGGGCTGCGATCTGCGACACCGTCGCCACTTTCGAGGGCTGCTGGTGGGTCCAGCGGAGTGAGACACCGCGCGGACCTGAGGTAGACCTCGCCGTCCCTGGGGGGGGGGGCGCGATCTGCGACACCGTCGCCGCTTTCGAGGGCGGCTGGTGGGTCCAGCGGGGTGAGGCACCGCGCAGACCTGAGCGAGACCTCGCTGGCCCTTGGGGGCTGCGATCTGCGACACCGTCGCCACTTTCGAGGGCTGTTGGTGTGTCCAGCAGAGTGAGGCGCCGCGCGGACCTGAGGTAGACCTCGCCGTCCCTGGGGGGATGCGATCTGCGACACGGTCGCTGCTTTCGAGGACTGTTGGTGGGCCCAGCGGAGTGAGGCACCGCGCAGACCTGAGCGAGACCTCGCCGTCCCTGGGGGGCTGCGATCTGCGACACCGTCGCCACTTTCGAGGGCTGCTGGTGGGTCCAGCGGAGTGAGACACCGCGCGGACCTGAGGTAGACCTCGCCGTCCTTGGGTGGCTGCGATCTGCGACGTTGTCGCCACTTTCGATCGCTGTGGGTGGGTCCAGCGGAGTGAGGCACCGCGCGTACCTGATGTAGACCTCGCCGTCCCTGGGGGGGCTGCGATCTGCGACGTTGTCGCCACTTTCGAGGGCTGCTGGTGGGTCCAGCGGAATGAGGCACCGCGCGGACCTGGGGTAGACCTCACCGTCCCTTGGTGGCTGCGATCTGCGACACCGTCGCCACTTTCGAGGGCTGCTTGGTGGGTCCAGCGGAATGAGGCACCGCGCGGGCCTGATGTAGACCTCGCCGTCCCTGGGGGGCTGCGATCTGCGACACCACCGCCACTTTCGAGGGCTGCTGGTGGGTCCAGCGGGGCGAGGCACCGCGCGGACTTGAGGTAGACCTCGCCGTCCTTGGGGGGCTGCGCTGCGATCTGCGAAAGTGTCACCACACTTTCGAGGGCTGCTGGTTGGTCCAGCGGAGTGGGGCACCGCGCAGACCTGAGGTAGACCTCGCCGTCCCTGGGGGGGGATGCGACCTGCGACACCGTCGCTGCTTTCGAGGGCTGCTGGTGGGTCCAGCGGAGTGAGGCACCGCGCAGACATGAGCGAGACCTCGCCGTCCCTGGTGGGGCGCGATCTGCGACACCGTCGCCGCTTTCGAGGGCGGCTGGTGGGTCCAGCGGGGTGAGGCACCGCGCAGACCTGAGCGAGACCTCGCTGGCCCTTGGGGGGCTGCGATCTGCGACACCGTCGCCGCTTTCGAGGGCTGCTGGTGGGTCCAGCGGAGTGAGGCACTGCGCAGACCTGCTGTAGACCTCGCTGTCCCTTGGGGGCTGCGATCTGCGAAACTGTCGAGACTTGCTGCTCGTGGGTCCAGCGGAGTGGGGCACCGCGCAGGCCTCAGGTAGACCTCGCCGTCCCTGGGGGGCTGCGATCTGCGACACCGTCGCCGCTTTCGAGGGCTGCTGGTGGGTCCAGCGGGGTGAGGCACTGTCGCCACTGTCGAGGGCTGCTGATGGGTCCTGCGGAGTGAGGCACCGCGCGGATCTGAGCGGGACCTCGCCGTCCCTGGGGGGGCTGCGATCTGCGTCGTTGTCGCCACTTTCGAGGGCTGCTGGTGGGTCCAGCGGAGTGAGGCACCGCGCGGACCTGAGGTAGACCTCACCGTCCTTGGTGGCTGCGATCTGCGACACCGTCGCCACTTTCGAGGGCTGCTGGTGGGTCCAGCGGAGTGAGGCACCGCGCGGGCCTGATGTAGACCTCGCCGTCCCTGGGGGGGGGCTGCGATCTGCGTCGTTATCGCCACTTTCGAGGGCAGCTGGTGGGTCCAGCGGGGTGAGGCACCGCGCGGACTTGAGGTAGACCTCGCCGTCCTTGGGGGGCTGCGATCTGCGTCGTTGTCGCCACTTTCGAGGGCTGCTGGTGGGTCCAGCGGAGTGAGGCACCGCGCGGACCTGAGGTAGACCTCGCCGTTCCTGGGGGGCTGCGATCTTCGACACCGTCGCCACTTTCGAGGGCTGCTGGTGGGCTCGCCACTTTCGAAGGCTGCTGGTGGGTCCAGCGGAGTGAGGCACCGCGCACACCTGAGCGGGACCTCGCCGTCCCTGGGCGGCCATGTCATGTTGTTGCTGCCCCGTCGACGTTTCAACCCCCTCGCCCACAGTCTCATTTTGGACCGTGCGTCTTCCTTAGTGACTCAGGGGTTCACTTAGTTACTCATTGTTTTTCACTTGATGGGGGACCTGCGAATCTTCCGACTGCCGCTCGCAGAAGTACATACAAGTATTTGGCGGGGGCCGTGGTTGTTGTAACTCGGGGGCCCGCCGGCAAGTTTGATTTTCATTCTTTGACAAAAGAACAAAGTGCGAACCTCAGGAGGGGCACTTCAACAGGATGAATACGTTGGTTACCGGACGGCGGGATCAACAATAATTATTCTTCAAAAGAGAAGCACCACCAATCACAACAACGATACCAACAAGAACAAACTCACCAACAACGACAACAAAGGCTCCCGCTTGATACTCCTTACAGTGTATTCCGAAATTGTGTTCTCGCGCGAGATTTCCTCGCACTTGATTGAAGCACCGCGCCCTAGACACTCAGGAATGACGCTTTCGCTTTAGCCTTTTTCGCTATTTATTTGCGCGATGTCGCTTGAGACTTCCTCGCGATTCATGCAGGACTCATTCTTCAACCCGCCTGCTCGACCTGGTGGCCTGGGCCCGCCTTCCCGACCCGCACGCTTCGGTGTGCCCGCCCGGGTTGCCCGCATGGTTTTGCCGCGTGTTTCCTGTTCTTAGCCCCCCTTCCTTCCACTCTCTCTTGCTCCATCCTTCTTCCTCCCCCTTCCAGGGCCTTCCATCCGTCGTCTCTTCCTTTGTTTAGGGGCTGCACTTGATGCGCGTGGCAGGCAAGGAAGATATACCTCCAACGGGGTTCGATCGAAAACGACGTTTTGGGTTATACGTGATCAGTAGCACGCGAGCGGATAGGAGTGAGCAACTTTATACTGATTGTTGTTGTTGCTGTTGCTGTTGTTGTGGTAGTTGTTGTTGACAAAACTATACGCTGGCGCCCCCCCCGCGCAACGCAACGCAACACAACGGGACCCCCCCCCCAGGCGCAACGCAACGCAACGCACCGCAACGGAAGCAGTGGAGGAGCAGTGTAGCAGGTAAGGGAGGGGGTGCAGAGGGAGGAGGAGGAGGAGGAGGAGGAGGAGGAGGAGGACGCAGCCGTTGTGGTGCTCCTGTGCGTCCCTGTCGTCGTCGTCGTCATCGCCCTCTCTGTCTCCCTGTCTGTCTGTCTGTGTGCCGCCGCCGCCGCCGACGACGACAACGACGAAGACTACGACGACGTCGACGACAACGACCTTGCGGTTCTCTTTGCGGTGCTGTTGCCGTCTTCGGTTGGGGGGATGAAGAATGTGAGGAACGTGACCACTGCTATTACTACTTCTAGTACAACGGCAACAGATACAAGTACAACTACAATAACAACTTCTGCTACGACGACGACGGCGACTATTACTACTACTGCTACTACTACTACGACGACGACGACCACTACTAATAGCACTAGCACTACCACCACTACGACTAGTACTACTGCTA